CAGAGGGCACCTGGACCTCAAAAGGCACAGGCTGCAAAGTGACAGTAACATAGCCCCAAAGGCATCCAGAGGTTCCAAAATGTAAAGGTGAACTACCTCTTGTTCCCTTTTTTCATACTTTTCTGATATAAACAAACCTTTGATCCTCTGCGGAAATAAACCTTGTTTTTGAGATGTATTTACCCAGAAAAGATAAAAAGTACTAATTTATCATATTTCTAAATAAAGAATGAGTGGACTGCATGACATCACGACATCCTTTAAGACTTAAGGCTTGAGAAGCAAGCAGACATTGTGGCACACACCTGTTCAAGGCCAGACTGGAATATACAGTAAGACCCCATCTCCCAAGAAACAAAAAACAAAGACACCAAAGCTTTAGAAGCAACTAAACACCATCATCTTAAATGGCACTGGTTTCCCCACATGAAATTGTAGGGGTATTTTAACTAATAACACACTCCTGTTTCTATTTTAAACATGGCATAAAGAAGATTCTTGCCTATTCTCTAAAAAAGACCAAAGGCCACTGCCAGATCTGGGTTTCCCCCTGAGGCCAGGCCTGGGAAGCCTGACTTACACGTCAGTATTCTCTCTCAGTTCTTGTACCAAGGTACAGTTCCTCTTCTGGGTTGGGCCTGATTCTTTTTGTGTGTGTGTGTTTTCTTGGTTTTTGTGGTACCAGGGATAAAACTGGGGACCTTGCACTTGCGAGTCAGGCAGCAGAACCACTGAGCTAAATCCCTGGCCCCAGGCCTGATTGTTGAAGCAAGCAACTAAGCAGAGAACTCAACTTTCCAATGCTAAATGGAAAAAGCAGTTGAAATCCCATCACTTTTTTTTTTTTTCTGAAACCGTGTCTCACTATATAGTTCAAGCTGGCCTAGGACTCCCAGCAATTCTCCTGCCTCAGTCTCCTGAGTGCTAAGGTTACAGGTATGTGCCACTATGCCCAGCTGAGATTTCCCCCTTTTTTAAAGAAACAGAACTTGAAAGAATTAAGGAAGTAGGAATCTTAGGGACTTGCCGTTGTTTCTAGAATCAGTATTCAGTACTAATTTAAACAATAATGACACCCTCCATAGTTACCACCCAAGTCCAGCTATAAGGGAGAAATAACTGAAGTTACTCCCATGATCCTTGTGTAGACCTGTCAAGTTATGGAAGGACAAGGGCTTCTGAGGATCTGGGTCTATCCTTTCTCTACTCTGATTTCTCTAGTCACTCAGGCTGCAAGCACTGGGTGGAGGTTACAGGAGGCTGGAAAGAGCTGAAGAGGCTAAACTGCACTGGAGAGGACACATGGAGCTGAGTCACATATCAGCTTTCAGAAGGAGATCCTACAGCACTTTCTTTGTGCTGCTATGGATGATTATATTTTCATAAAGCCTGATGATGTCACACACATCTTTCACTTATAGATAATAAGAATAAAATCCCAAAATGAACAAAGAATGGCTGCATCAAGTATTGGGCAAGAAGTCATCAGCTGAGCCAGCCATAGTGGCTCATGGCCACAATCCCAGCATTTAGGAGGCTGAGGCCAGCTGGGGCTACATAGGTGAGTTCAAGGATTGCCTGGACTACATGAGACCCTGTCTCAAGGGGAAAAAAGGTCATTAGCAGGGGCCAAAAGTGCTAAAGTCCTGGGCAGAGCGGCCCTGGCTGGTGCTATCTACATCTTAAAGAGTGAGGAGTTGAATTCCTGGTCACCTTGTCCTAAAATCCTGACTTAGAGCCATATGTAATCTGCTTTAGGATAAATTCTCCCTTGATAAAAAGGCAAATAGGACTTGAGGAGGAAATGGCCCTGAAGTAGCCTTAGCTGCCCTGAGGATCACTTTTCACTTCCAATCCTATTTCTCCAATCTTACTTATGCTTCCATTTTTCTCCTGCACTGCCCCTCTACCAAACACCTAAAAGTGGAGTTGGCAGAGATTGGGAAAGAGGGAATCAGACTAAAAAGTAGCCAGAACTTTCTACCTTTAGTAGAAATAGATCAGGAATTTGGTTTAGGCATTTTCAGAAATTTTCAAGGATTTTCAACAGGAATATATTTTTATAGAGCTTACCAGGCTTCTGAAAATCTTTGTTTTTAGAAGTATTACTTTGGGGGGTAACATAAAACCTAGTTTGGGTTACTAGGATAAAATGGGGCCAGGAATTCACACTGAGAGAAGCAGTGGGCTCCAGAATCTGTCTCAGTGCCCATCAGAACTGGGAAAGGCCTGATCAAAAGTTTAGACTGCCAATCAGTCCATTTTCTTCTTTTCACAGGAGACTAAAGCTGGGCTGTCAACTATACCAAAAAGAGGAATTGTAATGCCCCTGCCTAGATTCAGGCCTCAATTTATAATCAGAGATCAGACATGTTCAGAGTGGTATGGCTGTAGATCTTAATTTATAACCAAAGATTATTTCTAGGCAGCACGACAGTCAAACAATCAAAGTGACAGTCAAGGGGGCCAGGGATACAGCTCAGGGGTGCTATGCCTGCCTGGCAAGCACAAAGTCTTGAGTTCATCTCCAGTACTGGAAAACAACAACAACAACAAACAAAAATCAAAGTGACAGTCAAAGCAGGTGGTGCCCAGGGATGTTTAAGTCTGTAAAAAGACTTCAGATCCCTTTACCATCAGCAGCAACTTCTATCAGACTTGAAGATAAGGCAGATACCAACTCTCGAAATAACAAATAATTTAAAGAGCAAACAGGCAGGGGATTAACTAAGCTGAGCCTCAGAAGTGCCCAAAAGCTCTTGGTGGAGAGCAATAGGGCTGATTTCATGAGCCACTAGGAAATACCACGTTTCAGGCCTCAGTTCTACCTATAGTATAAGCCTAACCAAGTTCTCACTAAGGATGTAACCTTACTGAGGTTGGGCTGATTTTTTTCTTTTTAAGTCAAACCCTTCTATTTTTAAAGTTAAGAGTGCACAAATGTATTGCTACTACTTATTATTTTCCTGGAGCTACTGATGTCAGAGAACATAAAATCCAGATTTGCAGCCTTAAGAAATTTAAGACCTCCAAAGTTTTGACTTTTGTTAAGCAGACAAGCAGATGTTCCAACACCCAAGAGCACATCTAGCAAACACATCTCACCTGGACTGTGGGACTGTCTTATCCACAAACAGGAAGATTGCCTTTTCAGAAGGAAGCTGGATCCTTTTCCTGATGATCCACATGAACTGAGCCACAGTGATGTCAGATGGAACCAAATACTTCCGTTTGTCAATGTCAACAATCTGAGAGCCTGAGACTTTTTCCACAATCACCTGGGGGTTAAGAACTGATGTAAATGTAATAACGAGAAACAGTAAATGCTTTTCTGTGGTCAGTTGTATCTCTCATCCCTAGAGTGAGAAATGCTGCTATTAAGCTTTTCAACATTTTATCTGGGCAGCTAGGTGTGATGCCACATATCCATAATCCCAGCACTCAGGAGGCTGAGGCAAGAGGATCACCTTGGGTTTGAGGCCAGCCTGAACTACATAGTGAGACCCCATTGAAAAACAAACAAACAAAAAATAAAACATTTTGCTTGGGAGGACACAAGAATATATGTGAGGGTTTCATCTGTACCCTGTTACTCCAGGACCCCATAATGGATCCATGCTACTAGAGAATTAAGATCCCAAGGAACAAAAAGAAATATGAATGGACTAACAGGAATGCCTGGCAATCGCAGCCAGCTAAGAACCAAATCTTTCACTTGACCTGTTGCTTCTCTCTGAACCCATTTTGAATTTGTCCCCATAGTTCCCTCCCAAAAGGAACTGTTTACAAATAAAGAGCTACAATAACAGGTCTTGGTGTCCTTTAAAAATCAGTAAGGATAACAAAAACTATCTCCCCTGCCAAAAAAGAACAGTAGATCACATTTACTGCTTAAAGGGAAAAAGGGTTTTCAGATTCTTTTTTGCTAAGGCAAGATGACAGCCTCAGGGTGAGAAAAGAAAGCTAAACAACGTTAAAGATCAACGTCCTGATAGTAAAGTACCATTTACAAGACTTATGTGACAGTCTGACGGAGGCCGTCTTCACCACAGTTCCCAAAAGTGGCAATGAACTGTTGCCCTGTCCTAGAACATGTTCCTTACATAACTGGCGAGGGAGCCCAGAGGCAGCAGGCAGCCCGCTGGCCTAGATCGGGAGGTTCAGCACTGGAGCGCCCGAACAGCACCAGCCCCAGCCGGTCACGCCCTGGCCCCCGCCAGTCCCAAACCAAACCCTTCCGCCTGCTACTGTAGCTAGGACTGGAACCTCTAAATCAACTGTTGAACGATACACGGCCCTATCATCGCTCCTAGACTACAGGGGTGACAGCGGGGTGAGGGGGCGGGGAGTCTAAACACTCACCGGAACTCGATCGGGATATTTCGCTCGGATCTTCGCGGATTCTACGCATCTGTGTTCTGTGAGGGAAACACATCGGGGTGACTATCCCACCACCTACCAGCCGGCGGGTTCTCCACTCCCCGGCCCCTGGCCCTCCTCCCCGCCGCGACCTGCGCACGCTGTGAGCCCTCGTTCGGGCGTACCCACGGCCACTGTCGCGTGTCCCCTCGCTCCCGAAAGGCCGGTGGAAGGTGGCACGGGTCAGTGGACCTCCGTCAGGGATGGCGGGGTCTCGGCAACCGAAGTCCAGAGCGCAGCATCCGCCCCGACCGACCCGGCCCAGAGCGGCCCGAGGGGGGGAGGGGGGAGGGGGCCCACCCGCCGCTCCAGCCCCCGCATCCGCCGTCAGTCTAGCGCATACCCAGTGAGTGGTCCTCCTTGAACATCCACTTCATGGCGGCGGCGAGGAGGGGACTGAGCCGGCTCTCTGAGCCGCGAAGTTCAGCGAACCGATCACAACAACAACAACGGCGACGACGGCAGCGACTGAGACTACACGACAGGCGGGACTTCCGGCTGTCCAAACCTAGCAACTGACTAGGGGCGTGGCTTCCGGCGCCACTCACAGGGGCGTCTCGCCAAGGGATGGGGCTTCCGGCTCTCGCCCGCGTGTTGCGTCAGGGGCGGAGCCACACGTGAAGCGGAGGAGGAGGAGGAGGACTCCCCAGCTAGTAGCCACGCGGTCGGGGTGAGGACGGAGAAGTTGGCAAAAGGTAGGCCCTTGAACGATACTGGCGACTTGGGGATGGAGTATTCGAAGAACTGGTGACAGAGAGTGGGTTTTAGGGTCGGCGGGGAACTGAAAAGGATAAGGTATTTTTCGTGGGGAAATTTCGCTGCGTTGGCACAGGATATTTAGGGTTTGAGTGACCGAAGAGGGGTTTCTAGCGATTGGCTTTGGCAGGGGGGCAGTTTAGAGCGTTGACAATTCGGGGAGAATTGTTTGGTTTGGGCTGGCCAGTTGGGGGTGAGTAGTGTGCGGCCCTGTGGGGGAGGGGTAGGCTACCAACCCGGAAGTCTGGCTTTGGAGGCCGCCATGATGGGTTACCTTGGATCGGGGAATTCGTTTAACAAATCCCGTTTACTTTACTCTTGAATAAATACTTTTTGAGGGAATTTGTTTTCTTTTCAGTTTTTATTAGTATTGTTTGGAGTACAAAATGATTACATTCACCGTAGTGAGTCCGTAGTTGTACACATTTTTTATTTTTTTATGCCCCCCCGTGAATAAATATTTAAACATGTATGAAAAAGAATCCCAGTTGTGCTTCAGAAGAGTAATATCAGTGGGCACAGAGACCTATTACCCTTAACTCAGAAGTAGAAACCCCCCTGGGAGATAGTCACGCTGCACATTTCCTCGTCTGGCAGTGGGAATGGCCGCGCAGCAGTCACAGCCTGGTTCCTTTGTGTAACACCTGCCTAGTTCTGTACCTTGAGGTTTTCCAATCAGTGATGTAATTTCTTTCTTGCAAGCAGAGTCACCAGTCTGGTTGCGTCACCATCTATTTATGAGCTAGTGAACATGTAACAAAAATATTCACTTAATTAGGCAAGTGACTCCTACCATGTGCGTGTGATTCTGATGCATCTATCAGGCCTGTATATTTGAACACTTGTCACACTCATTTCTGACATTTGAAATTCTTCAGGAATGCTTTGGGATCTAGCTTCATCCTGAAAGTATTTTTTGGCTAGGGGTGGTGGCGCGTGCCTATAATCCCAGCGCTCCATAGGTGAGGCTGGACTATAGGCGCCATCCAGGACTACACAGTGAATTCAAGGCCAGCCTGAGCTACATAACCAGACTCTGTCTTAAAAAGCACACCCCCCAAAAAAAGCGTTTTTGTTATGTTAAGATTGTGTGTCTGGTTGGGGATATGGTTCAGTGGTAGTTCACTTGCATAGCACCCTACAGGACCTGGGTTTGATTCACAGCGTAGGAGTGGGCACACACACCCCAAGACTCGAGAGTTCACTTTAGAATTTAGAATGCTATTGTGAAAAATTAGATTTGTTGAACAGTGATTAAGATTGTGTCTGAGCAATCACAATAGGTTTTTTGATTTTGTGAAGAATTCTTTTAACCCTGAGAAATTGATGTTATTGTAAGTAAGAACACTTTCAGGTTCTAGGGATAATCATGTACAAAACAGACAACTTTTCCATCATTGAGTTTGCATTCTAGTAGGACAACGCCAAAAAATAAATATTTCAGGTAATGGTAGGCGCTATTTAGTGGGGAAGAAAAGAGGGGCGGTAACTATAGTGATGGTGGGATGGAGTGCTAATTAGATAAAGTGATTGGCATACACTGGAAATATAGATGAACTTGGAGCTAGATAAAAGGTGTATTTTTAGGAGATAAAATCAACTCAACAAACCTGGAGTTGAATTCTATGCAAATAAAATGAATTTTCTTAAAATGAGAGAAGTGGAGGTATTTATTTATTTGGGTTTTTTTTTTGTTTTGTTTTGGGGGGGTGTTTTTGTTTGTTTGTTTAACCAGGGAATTGAACTCAGGACCTTGGGCTTGCAAGGCAGGTATTAGCACCACTGAGCTAAATCCCTGCCCCCCCCTTTTTCTTTTTGAGATGGGGTCTCAGACACTAGCTGATTCAGGCTGGCCTCAATTTGTGGCAATTCTTCTGCCTCCGCCTCCTGAGTGCTGGGATTATAAGCCTTCACCTCCACATCTTACTAGTAAGTAGAGGTTTTTAACCAAAAATATAATACATCTTAACTTTTTAAAGTGATCAGTCTAATCTAGGGGTGTAGCTCAGTGGTAGACCATGTGCCCAGCCTGTGCAAAGCCCTGGGTTATTATGATAATTCAGGTTTTGTTTGGTTTTTTTTTTTTTTTTTTTTTTTTTTTTTTTGTTACTGCCAATCGAACTCAGGACCTTGAGCTTGCAATTAGTGGGCGGAACCACTAAGCTAAATCCCTGGCCTGATAATTCAGATTGAAAGGTATTGTTGCCTTAGACACAAGATGGTATCCGTGGAGGTAAAGGAAAATAATTGTGTTCTGAAGCTAGAGCTTACATAATTTGCTGATACATTGAATGTGAGATGTGAAGCACAAAACGGGTTTTGGGGAGGAGGATGGAATTGCCACCCAATGCAGTAGAGTGGAGCCAGTTAATGGGTGGGAATCAAGTTTGGTTTTAGATATATTAAGTATGAGATGCCCAAGAGACACATCTAAGGTATACAATAAGGTGAATGACTCTTTAAGTCTCAAATTCAGGAGAGAAGTATTTAAAGCTATTAAATTGGATGAGATTTAGCTAGACAGTGAAAAAAATGAAATTACCCTCTCAGAATCAGTGGAGGAGTTAGAAATTAGCATCTGGGGTGGAGGTGGAGCTCAGTGGTAGAGTGCTCTCCTGACTTGCACAAAGCCTTAGGTTCAATCCTCAACACTGGAGTGGGGGTGTGCAGGGGAAGGGAGAAAAAGAAATAGGACTCAGGATTTCTGCTTCCCTTTACAAAGCCAGTTATTGTGATATAGTCCAGGGCACGTGTATTATCACTTTGCAATGTGGAAGAGCTAAGTATACTTCTCAGGGAAAGATGAATTGCTCAGCATCTCATGGGCATGTCTCCTCATGGTCCCACTGATGTGGGTGTCTTTGTCCTCTGTCCATATGTGCTTTCTTGGTATCTTTTTAGTTTATCTTTTCAATTGGCTTCCTGGTCTGCCTTGATATGTATCTCTTTATCACCTTCTTTACCTATTAAGTCATTGTATTTAGTTTATTGAATGTTGTGAGGATCCTGGATGCCTGCTTTGAGTGGGTAGTTAGTTGAGGAAAGTCAGGAGGAGAAACAGGATAATGGATATATGCAGCTACATACCAACAAACCTACTAAACATGCAGGATGAGATGCAAATGTTAAGAGAGGTACACAGCCAGGTGGCTTAGCAAGAGGGGCTTCATTAAAATGTCAGTCTTCTGATGTAGAGAGAAAGGAATTTATTTCTTTGGTTTTTTTGGGGTTTTGTTTTGTTTTGTTTTGAGACAGGGTCTCACTATGTAGTTCAGACTGCTCTGGAACTCACTGTGTAGCCCAGGCTGGTCTCAACTCACAGCAGTCCTCCTGCCTCAGACTCCCAAGTGCTGGGATTACAGGTGTGCACCACCACACCCAGCTGAAAGGTATATTTTTCATAGGTAAACTTTGCAGATACAGGCTGGGATAGGACAAGGGAACTAAAAGTATAATGTAGACAAATGCCAAGTAAAAGAAGTGCTGGCAAGCCTTGAAACTAGCATTCATGAGTCCTAAACTTACATGAGATAGGAAACTGGGTGTTAAGTTGTGTCGATTAAGAGAATGACTTCCTTATGCTTTTTTTTTTCCAGCTCAGCCATGGCTCGTGGTCCCAAGAAGCATCTGAAGCGAGTGGCAGCTCCAAAGCATTGGATGCTGGATAAGCTGACCGGTGTGTTTGCTCCTCGTCCATCCACTGGTCCCCATAAGCTGAGAGAATGTCTGCCTCTTATCATCTTCCTGAGAAATAGACTTAAGTATGCTTTGACTGGGGATGAAGTAAAGAAGATTTGCATGCAGCGCTTCATTAAGATTGATGGAAAAGTCAGAACTGATATAACCTACCCTGCTGGCTTTATGGATGTCATCAGCATTGACAAGACAGGAGAGCATTTCCGCCTGATCTACGACACCAAGGGTCGCTTTGCTGTTCATCGTATTACACCTGAGGAAGCCAAGTACAAGTTGTGCAAAGTGAGAAAGATCTTCGTGGGCACCAAAGGGATCCCTCATCTGGTGACCCACGATGCTCGCACCATTCGCTACCCTGATCCACTCATCAAGGTGAATGACACCATCCAGATTGATTTGGCGTCTGGCAAGATCACTGATTTCATCAAGTTCGACACTGGTAACCTGTGTATGGTGACCGGAGGCGCTAACTTGGGAAGAATCGGCGTGATCACCAACAGGGAGAAGCATCCTGGCTCTTTTGATGTGGTTCATGTGAAAGATGCCAACGGCAACAGCTTTGCCACCCGGCTTTCCAACATTTTTGTTATTGGCAAGGGCAACAAGCCGTGGATTTCTCTTCCTCGAGGAAAAGGAATCCGCCTCACCATTGCTGAAGAGAGAGATAAGAGGCTGGCAGCCAAACAGAGCAGTGGATGAAATGGTCGTTAGATGACATGTTGGAGAGGTCTCTGTGCTTAATTAAAGAAAAGAGAGCATGATTTAATAAAGAGAGTGACCTTTTCTTTTAAATAATTGAAATAAAACCACAAAGATTAGCTTTCTCATATGACATCTCCTGGGAGGCTATGCTGTTTCATACACCTGAATTCTTAGCCATCACTTCCCTCTGTTTTAGCAGTGATTTAGCTGCAGTATGATTCCTTCTGTTGAAACACTGAAGGTAAACACTACCTTCACAGAGAAACTACCTTCAGAAGTCTATAGCATATCCATTTATTCCAGAAGACCCTTTCTTTATTGGTTAAAGAAATTAAAGTTTATCCTTAAAGCAGAAATACAAGCCTGCATAGTGTTTCATATCTATAATCCCTGTACTCAGAAGGCTGAGGTAGGAATACTGTGAGTTTGAGGTCAGCCTGGGTTTTACATATACTGTCTCAAATTATGGGGCCAGGGACTTAGCTCAGTGTTGCCACACCTGCCTGGTAATGTCCTGACTTCAATTCCTGGTCCAAAAAAAAGGCTGGAGATAAAATTCATCAGAAGCTTTTATGTATAGTTTTAATCAGGACTAGGTTTAAGCTTAATTTATATTTAAATGTGACAGTGGGTGACCTAAATGTACGATAAATGTAAAAGTTTATTATAGGACTAGGGATTTAGCTCAGTGGCACTGCACCTGCCTTGCAAGCACAAGGTCTTGAGTTCAATCCCCAGTACTGGAAAAAAATTTATTAGTAAAAGACTGCCATTAATCCCTCAACTTCCCCCTTGATTTCATCATCCTGATTCCATCATTCTTGCCACTTTGCAAAGCAGTTCTGTTAGTCTATTTGAGTGTCTACAAAGTGGTAAAATAAATGCTGTTGCCAAATGCCAGCTAAAGAAAAGCTAAGGTTGCAGAAACTCATCACCAGATCATGTTCCACAATTTCAGGATTTGAGGATATTCAAAGTGGAGATGGGTTTTGAGGTTTGGATTTTGATTTCTTGAAATACACTATAAAGTTCAAGCTGTGTTTGAACTCACTGGCCCAGACAGGCCTAAATTTGGTGGCCGCCTCCTGCCTCAGCCTCCTAAGTTTTGGTATTATAAGCATGCACCCCCATCCCGGGCAAACATTTCAAATAGTCAAGACGTGGAGACAGCCACCACACCACAACTAACACCTGAGGTAGGAAAGGCCCTCCAGAAGTGCTTCAGAAAGTGGCCAGAACAGTGTGTTTGAAGGAAGCAGTACTTTGGAGGGGTTAAATTTGAGACTGCCACATTTTCCACCTCACCTAGGTCGCCACTCCTGGAAAGCTTCCAAATGAGTGAGTAGTACTGGATTAGAGGATAGGTCAGAAGCATTTTATTGCTGACAACATAGTCTCACTGTGGTGAGGACCCGGAATAGTACTTCTTTTTTTCAAGTGATCAGGCCTTGATCTAATATTGGCAGCATCTCAATTGTTCTCTTCCTCTAAAAGACAGTTTGCCTTCAAAACAGGGTTATCAACTACTGGACTCCATTCTGAGCATAAATCTCAGACTATCCCCTTTCAGCTGTGGTGCTTCAGGGCATTTTGAAGAACTTGGCTGTGAGTCAGGCTTTTTAAAACATCTGCCCTGTTGGAGATACCAGTTAAAGCTGAGGGAACCATTTGACTGTAGTGCTACCTTTGGGCAGAACCATAGCTTCTCCAAAATCCGGTAGCCAAGTCTACCGGATATAAGGTAACAAACACATCAGAAAAAGCTATATGGTAAACTCCCTCTCCCTCCCAAAGCCAGGAGATTGTATCGCTTCTCTGGCCGCCCGGTTGTGGAATATAGCGGAAGCAACAGAAAACAGGCAAAGGCACCCGGTGTTTTGATTTAAACCCAGGTCCTGGGCCGGGATTTCGCCGGGTTCACGAGAACTGTTAGAATGATCCGTATGGGACGTTAACAGATGACCTGTACGGAGACACACTTCGGGTCAACTTTCATAAACATTTTACCTTAAAACAAGTATTACACACGTAAGGGAACTGCAACAGGCTGCTTCCGCTCAGCGTCTCAGGAGACGCACGCATTACGTAACACCCCGCCCCCCCCGCGTTCGCTCCACCCCTGCTTAAACCCCGCGTATTTCTATTGGTTCCTTTGTGGCTGTCCGTTGCCGTGGAGACCAAGGCGAGGGCAACCAGGAGAAGCCAAACTTGGTCAACCCTTTGGAATCGCGCAGGAGTCCCGGCGTGTTAGTCGTGCTCATGGCGCTCTACGAGCTCTTCTCTCACCCGGCCGAGCGCAGCTACCGTGCGGGGCTCTGCTCTAAGGCCGCGCTGTTCCTGCTGCTGGCCGCCGTGCTCACCTACATCCCGCCGCTGCTAGTGGCCTTCCGGAGCCACGGTACGGTGAGCCTGGGCCGGCCGGCGCGCAA